AATAAAGGAGATGTTAAGAGAGCTGTAAACTCACTTCCTGATGCTTTTGAGAGCCACAAGACAGTACCAGATTGAAAGGGAGAAACACTTTGGTCAGAATTCACAAGCCATTTATAGTCGAATTTACATATCCGTGGATTCTACATTCTTGCATTCAATCCATAGATCCAATATATTTGAAAAAAAAAATTATACTGAAAATGTACAAGCTTCCCTTTCTTGTTATTTCTAAAACAATAGAGGGTAACAACTATTTACACAACATATATACTGTACTGGCTGTTATAAATAATCTAGAAAGGATTTAAAAATTATGAGAAAACAGGCCTGGATTCTAGGCATACACTCTGGAGCATCTGCAGACTTTGGTGTTCCCCTAATCCCCAGTGATATCCTGGGACAATTGCAGATCTGGTTATCACGGTCATTGGTGGAATAGGCTCTGCTCAGCAGTTTTGTTTTTTTTTTTTTGTTTGTTTGTTTGTTTGTTTGTTTTTGTTTTTTGTTTTTTGGGTTTTTTTGGTTTATTCAGTGTGCTTATTAAGGTCCCAGATACAAAGCCCATCTCTAGACAGGGAGGCGAACTGTAACATTTGTCTTTGGTTGACTAGACAAAGAAGGAAGACAGTAGTGAGGCTGTAGCTTGGTGACAGAGCTCCTGGTGACAGAGCTCCTGGCTAGCATGTGGGAAGGCCCTGGGTTCAGTTCTCCAGCATAACAAAGGAAAGTAGAAGGAAGGAAGGAGGAAAAAGGAAGGCTGGAAAGGAAGGAAGGAAGGAAGGAAGGAAGGAAGGAAGGAAGGAAGGAAGGAAGGAAGGAAGGAAGGAAGGAAGGAAAAAGAAAGGCTGTCAAGAAAGCAGAAAGGAAGGTGTCTTAGTTACCGTCGTGACACTGTGATAAAAATACTGAGAAAATCAACTTAAGAGAAAAAGGATTCGTGTGCCCTTACAATTCAAGGTACAACCCATCATGGCAGGGAAGCCAAGGCAAGAAGAGCTTCAGCGGCTGGCCATACTACAACTGTGGTCAGAAAAAGAGAACACTGAGTGGATGCATGCCGCTCATGTGCCTTACTTCACTTATAGTCCAGGATCCCAGCAAATGGTGCCATCTACAGCAAATGGGTCTTCCTACCTCAATTAATGTAATCAAAGTAATCCTCATGGGCATGCCCATCTCCAGGTGATTCTAAACTCTGTCAACTTGACAGTTAACACTAATCATGGGTGCAGGAGGGGGACAGACACAACACTTAATTCCTGAAATTTAATACAACCCAGAGTTTTGAACTCATACTTCAATATCCAAAAATGAGTGTAGCAGAACTCATTCTAATAGATACTAATTTGTGTGAGAATTCCAAACTGGACACTAAAAATATGCTGAAAAAGAATATAGTCTCCCTCCTTGAGCTAATGTGCAGACCGATGACAAAAATCAATTATGTCACAGTGGAAAGTGCAGAGTGCTATAGGACAGCGAAGAAAATGATTCAGAAGGCTTCATCAGGGAGGCATGGGACTGGATAGGGAGAAGCAGAGAGGGGTGGAGTAGCATGGGTGAGTATCTGGAATAATTTCCTTGCTTATATAACAACAGCATGGAATTATTATTAGCATATGAACTCCTAAGAGGTTTTATCTGTTTTGTTCACAATGCCCTAGCTCACTATAGGTACTCATTAAGTGCAGGTTCTAAAAGAAAACCATGTGACCATAACCAAAACATCCAAAGTCAAAAATGTTCCAAAATCTGATACTTCACACCAGCATGATGCTGAAAGACTGATGTTTCAAAGTTCACAATAGACTTAGTTTTGTGAATAAAAATTAGAAAAAGCATTGTACAAGCTTACTGCCTTGGTAAGCCTTCATCGTCAGCTTGGCACAGGCTGGAGTCATCTTAGAAAAGCAGCAGCAACTGAGGAACTGCCCAAGTCAGGTTGGCCTGTGAGCATGCTTGTGAGGGACTCTCTTGATTATTGGCTGATGTAGGAGTACCGAGCCCACCATGGGCGGCACCATTCCTCAGTCAGTGGTCCTGGGCTGGCTAAAGCTAGCTAAGCATGAACCAGGAAGTGATTGAGCCAACAAGCATCATTCCTCCATGGTTCCTGATTCCAGGTTCCTGCCTGCCACCTCAGTGACAGACTGTGACCTGGGAGTTGTGAGATAAAATAAACCCTACCCTCCTCCAAGTTCCTTTTGGTAGGAGTGTTTCATCATTAGCGACATAAAGGAAACCAGAGCAGACTCCAGGTTGTGAGACATGTGAAACATAAGCAAATTTCAAGTTAGACTTGAGTCTCATTCCCACGATATCTCATTATTTATTTTCAAGCATTCCAAGATCTAAAATGCTTGCAGCCAAGCACATCAGATGAGAGGTCCTCAATCTGTGTTTTATAAATAAGTAAGCGAATCCTCTGTAAAGTGTTGCTAGAGTTCAGGGTTTATGTGAGGAATGGTGTTGAGGTGGAGGAGACAAAATTAAGACATCATTAGAAGACTGGATTTTATGGAAGAAAACACAGAAAAGGCTTGGATGTCACAAGCACATTTGTGGTTTTGAGATTCATGGGAGGGGGGACATAAAAGGCACAAACTGAATACAGAGAAAGTTATGTGGTTATTGCTAGTGTCCATCTTAAAGGTGGCTAGTTAGGAATCAAAGGTAATGTCACTTAAAGCCACCAAAAACTGGTGACTCCAAATGTTATCAAGGATGTGGAACAACTAGAACCATCATCCTTTGCTGGGACAGTTAGTTCCTGGGACTGTGCTTGTAATTCAGTTGGTAGGAAGCTTGCCTAGTTTGCCTTGGATTAGTTTCCAGAACAGCATAAACTGAGTGTGGTTGTGCATACAGCAATTCATGGTTATCCTTGGGTATATTGTATGGTGAAGACCAGTCTGGTTACATGAAATCCTTTCTGAGAGAGGAGGGCTTAGAAGAGAGAGTGAAACAGAGAGAGAGAGAGAGAGAGAGAGAGAGAGAGAGAGAGAGAGAGAGAGAGAACTTCAAGTTTAATCCCATAATTCCATTCTTTAGGTATACAGCAGAAATGAATTCTTTTTGTTGTTGTTGTTTTGTTTTTGTTTGTTTGTTTGTTTTTTGAGACAGGGTTTCTCTGTGTAGCTTTGCACCTTTCCTGGAACTCGCTTTGGAGACCAGGCTGGCCTCAAACTCACAGAGATCTGCCTGCCCCTGCCTCCCAAGTGCTGGGATTAAAGGCGTGTGCCACCACTGCCCGGCTCAGAAATGAATTCTTACATGCCCCCCAAAAATACATAGACAAGAATGTTCACAGAAGCATTGTTCCCCAAAGCCCAAGTGGATAAATTATGTTATACTCATGCTAAGAAATACTGAAACACTTACAGACTGCTGCTAAACAGATAAATACCATGAGCTTGATACTGAGTAAAAAGAGTTGGACATGGAATGCAATCTATAGGGCTGGAGAGATGCCTCAGTGGTTAAGAGCACTGGCTGCTCTTCTAGAGGACTCAGGCTCATTTCCCAACACCCACATGGCAGCTCATAACTGCCTGGAACTCCTGTTCCAGGAGATCCAACATCCTCATACAGACATACATGCAGGCAAAACACCAATGTACATAAAATACAAAAAAAAAATAGGTTTTTTTTGTTAAAGAATACAGTCTGTAGAATTCTACTTGTAAATTTCAAAAATATGCAAAAGCACCTCGTTGTGAAGTACTCCGAAGTAAGGTTGCTTTTGAGTGTAATGGTGTGAGAGGGTGAGCATGGTGTCTGAGTATGGTTATACAATGTGATTCCCTCATAATAATCCTCTAAGATTTTACGTAGAGGTTATGGAATGTCGTGCAATTCTGGCTCATGTAATAGGGTGGGTGACAGTCCCCTGTGGGCGATCTGATGTATCTCTGGAGAGACATCAGACTCTACAGCAGCCACGGTTCTTATTGCTCCTGGCTGCTCTGGGTAGCTGTAGAGTAGGACTCTCACGACCCCATAGTCATGGAAACCACCCTTCCCCAGAGCTGTGACCTTTGCACTCCATAGCTTGTGCCATGCCACTGTGAGACACAGCTTTTGCCAGTTAGAGAAGTCTCTCTAGAGGGGCCCCCAACCTCTTTTTTTTTTTTTTTTTTTTAGTTCACACTGTCCTTTGAAGTAGGAAGTAGGCTGAAATTAAGCAGACAAAATATGATCTACTCAATGCATCTCTAAAGAGATGAGGGCAATATCTTCTAATGGAGCCTTGGGAGTCCGGAGAGCCATCTAGAATTACACAGTGGTGGTCGAGGGAACAGATCTTTTCTCTGTGGATGCTGATTCCCTCAGGTGGTCTCACTCGTATCTCCAATTGCATTGGACTCACCAGTAGCAGAAGAAAAGATTTAGGAGGATCCTTGAACATAAAGTCCAATAGAAGATTAAGTAGGACCACTGCTCTTGCATAGCGATTCCCACCCTTCCAGCTCCAGCGGGAAACACAGAGACTGAAGTGGAATCCCAAACCTCCCACACCCTGCATTCCACTGCAGCTCTGGCTTGAGACAAGGGACAGTCCCTTTAAGACCCGACAGTGAAACTCCCTTTGTGGCCCAGAGCTACTCTCCAGTTCCATAATATTAGGAAGAATCACCCCCTCTCCCCTAAAACAAGGTCTAATGTAGCCTAGGCTGACCCCAAACTCACTATGAAGCTCCAGATGACCTTGAACTTTGGATTCTCCTGCCTTTACCTCCTGAATGCTGAGGTTACAGGTGTATACCTGTATACAGTTACCACAGTCAGCTTATGAGGTGCTGGGGACCCAAGCCAGGACTTCGTGTGTGCTAGGCAAACGTTTTGCAGATTGAGCTCTCCCCAGCCCTGAAAAGGAGACCCACTGGCAAATCCCTTCTGATACCTTCCTCCCCTGGCCAAAAGCCAGGAGAACTATTTATAGGGAGATGACTACAGACAGGCACCTCAGATAAACCATGAAATTCTGCACCCACACATAGGTCACTCTATTCTCAAGACTCAAAAGAACATTGTGCTGTCTCAGAAGTGGAATGGAGGATGGGAAGGTAAGTGAAATGAAGCCGAGATGGAAAGAACCCACACCTGGGGTTGGCATTCAAGGCGTGAATAAAATGGCAGCCCCAGAGAGAATGCTGCTGAGTGGGGGAATAGAGACGAGAGGTGCGGGGCCAGTTACTTTTGTGCAGCACACTGAGCACAGTTTGTTCTGGAGTTTTCCAGCCCCTACTCCAAAGTCCTCACATATTCCTGGCTTCAAAACCTTCTTATCAGAGGCTCAAGTCTTCACCCGATCCTCATCTCAGTTTACTTACGTTCTTCCCTACATCCAAATAACCAACCCACCTAGTATTGACGTGGCAGTGGGCTTAAAGGGCAGGTTGACGTCCTGGTTTCATTGAATGTAATGTCTTTATTTTGTGTGTTCATGTGAGTGTATGTGAGTGCCTCTGGAAGCCAGAGGACAAGCTCAGCAAGGTTCCTCAGGAGCCATCTATCTTGGTGGTTTGGAGTCTCTCACGGGAGATCACCAATTATCAAAGCCCAGGGATCCATCTGTCTCTACCTCCCCAGCTCTGGGGTTATCATCACACACACTCCACCACACCTCACTTTTCAGTTGAGTTCCAGGGAACCAAACTCAACACCTCATGCTTGTGTATGAACCACTTCCCCAGCTGAGCTGTCTGCCCAAACCAAACGTGAGAGAGCTATTTAAAAGATGTCCCAGCAGGACATATTCACTGTATGCATGTAATCCTAGTACTTCATGAGTGGAGGCAGAAGGATCAGGACTGGACTTCACAGCCAGTCTTGGCTACCTAAGACCTGTCTCCAAAAGAGAAAGTGAGAGAGTTTATTATTTTATATGCTATTAAAAAAAAAAATGTTGCGATTCAAATTTTACCATCCACTAAAAAGTGGACCCTGAGTTAGGGTCAGGGGACAAGTGCAAAACATGCACTTGTTAAGAGTCAATTATACAACCGTGAGCTGGGCTGGAGTCACAGAAGGACTTTTAGTTTTGGAAAAGTGTAACTCTAAATGAACAAGCCCTTGATGCCAATATAAAAAAAGCTCTAATTCCAAGGATTGGGCTTCTTCATCTCCAGCACGGTCATACATTTTAGGTCACACGTTAAGAAGAATTATAGAGACCTGGAGAAATATTCATATCACCCATTTTGAAAGAGTAGCACATTGTCTATGGCCATATCACCTGAATGCACCCAATCTCGTGACAAATAATAAGAGGTCATGAATTTAATCTATTTAATGCGTATTTGTACTTGAAGTGCCTTAAAAATTATGGAAATGAGCAACAACCTTACAGTCAAACACACAACTCCTTGACATGTTGATGGCTTTGCAACGCTTGAATCAATAAACGTTTTTGTGCCTTTGTGTATTTGAAACAGATTTTTGAACTTCATGGAGCGGATGTTAAAAAACTGGAAGAGAAGATTCAAGAGCTGATGTGAGCCGCCACCCAAAACCAAATATACCTGGGACATTTCCTAAAGTGTCAGCAAGTGTTGGGTGTTCTGATTTCCAGCATGCCCTGTCTCTTACTTTCTATCCGTCTCTCTCCTGATGTTTTGAGGGAAGAACTTGGCATTACAGTCCTCCCAAGACCTTGATTGAAATCATTACTGTAGCAGAATTGTGTTACTTCCTGGAGCATGTTCCTTGGGTGATGTTTTTGTGACCTTCACAGCAAAGCCCATATGAAGCTAAGTAATAGCAGGTCACCAGGATTTCCCAGAGATAGCCAAAGGGCAGTTGTTCACATGATCAAAGAACTTTTAGGTATGCCATTGTTGGGGTGAGAGGGGTGCTTCGTTTTGTCCTGTTTTGTTTTGTGTGAGGACCAAGAATCAAGCTCAAGGCCTCACACATGCTAAGCAAGGCCTCTTACCGTAGAACTGCACCCACAGCCTGGGGGATACTACTTGTCCCAGATTGCTTTCTATTCTGTGGTAAAACATCAAAACAACTTTGGAGCACACAGTCCTAAGTGGGATGTCCTCATCAAGCCCCTCCCCTCAAGGCTCAGGGATATATGTGGAAGATGGATGGCTCTAAGCAAACAGTGTCTTTCAGACACAACAGGACTGACGGACGCACATAGAGACTCCCAGACACGGTAGCCACACACACAAGACCTGCACATGGTCAAGCCAGACAAGGTTCCAGCATTAAGGGGGAAGTGGGCACAGGCTCCCACCCCTAACTGAGAAGGTATCTGCAATTGACAGCCACCAGCAAGGGGAAAGTCAGTTTTCACCCATGGAGTCTCACAGGAATATCAACCACACTTCAGGGCAGGCCCCATGGCCAGGAGTAGTTGCCCAACAAGAAATTAACTCAGTGGTATTTGTGTAGACTTTTTGTATTATTTTGATTTGTTTGGGCTTGTTTTGTCTTATTGGTCTTTTGATTGTTATTTTGATTTCCCTTTTTGTATGTTTTTTGGGGGGGTAGGGAGAAGGTGTTGTATGTGTTTCTTGTGAGGTTTTGGGGTTTTGTTGTTTGTTTGTTTTAAAGAGAGAAAGAAAGAAACTGTAGAGAACAAAAAGGAAGATGGGATGATGTGGGAGGAATTGGGGGAGGGAAGAACATGATCAAGATATATTGTATGAAAAACACTTTTTTTTTAAACATTAAAAAACATTGAAGATAAAAAATAAAACACCATGACCAAAAGCAAATTAGGAAGCAAAGGGTTTATTTGGCCGAATGAACCACAGTCCATCACTGAGGAAAGTCCAGGCAGGACCTCAAGGCCAAGCAGGAAGCTGAAGGCAAGAACAGAGCAGCCACCATGGAGGAATCTACTTACCAGCCTGCATCCCATGGCTTGCTCACCACAACAAATGAAGAGGGGATGGAGAGGTGGGAAAGACGGAGGAGTGGAATGGGCTTTTTGTTGTTGTTTTTGGTTTTTTTTTAATTAATATTTTTAGTTTCTTTTGGTGGGGGGATGGTGCAAGGCGAAAGGGCAGATACAGAGGGATGGGAAATGAGTGGAATTGGGGTGCATGATGTGAAATTCTCAAAGAATCAATTAAAAAATATGCTAAAAAATGATAAGAGAAAAAAATCAGCATAAGCACATTAATACCTGTTAACCCTAAAGCATGAGAATAGAATTTATAGAGAACTGAATGGGTCCTTCCTCACATTGTACAACAAAAGCCAATTTCTGAAATCTCCACATTCTATACTGATGCAAATAAATCAGGGAAAGCAGAATACAAATCAGGAGACTTAAATAAAGTGGTTCAAAGTCCATACAACTCTGTACAAAAAGCAGAACTGTATGCTATTCTTATGGTACTGATGGACTTCACAGAACCCCTCAATACAGTCACTGACTCTCAATGAGCAGAGAGAGTTGTTTTACATATTGAAACTGCTGAATTTATTCCTGATAATAAAAAATTAATTTCACTATTCATACAATTACAGGAAATCAACAGAAATAGGGAACATCATATATATATATATATATATATATATATATATATGTATGTATATATATATATATGTAACATGCTAGAAGCCTCAGAATTTCATAAGAAACACCATGTAAATAGCAAAAGTTTGAAGAAGGATTTCTCCATCACTTGGCAACAAGCCAAGGAAATTGTAAGAAAATGTCCTACCTGTTCCTTTTATAACCAAACTCCATTACCTGCAGGGAGCAATCCAAAAGGTATACAAAGAAATGAAATTTGGCAGAGGATGTGTTTCATTTAGCAGAATTTGAAAGATTAAAATATGTACACCATACCATTGACACCTATTCAGGAATTCAATGGGCAACTCCTATGAGTTCTGAAAAGGCTGATTCTGTGATTACATACCTATCAGATGTTATGGCCATCATAGGAATACCTGTACAAATTAAGACAGACAATGCCCCAGCATATGTCTCAAATAAAATGAGACAGTTTTTTGCTTATTACAATATAAAGCATGTTACAAGTATACCACACAATCCCACAGGCCAAGCAGTCATAGAAAGATCCAATCAAACTTTAAATGATATGCTAAATAAACAGCAACAGGTAACAATGACTCTTAGAAAAAAATTTAAGAAAGAAATAACAGCTGTGGAGAGACATTGGACAACAGAAAAAACTGAGCTAAACCAACTGGTTTATTTCAAAGATGTGTTGATCTCAGAATGGAAACCAGGATACATCCTACATTGGGGAAGGGGGTTTGCTTTTGTTTCTGCAGGAGAAGAAAAGCTATGGATACCAACAAAATTAATAAAAATTTGATTTGAACAAGAGAAGCCCCTTGGTGAGGAGAAGTAAAAGCTCATCCACCAATATGATGTCTCTACAAGTTGTAAGAAAAACTTAACAAACAGGGGTTGGGGCAGGGTTCTGTTTTCTGTCTTTACAGGATAATAGAAACACACATCTTCCAGAAATTATAAGGCCTTGGATATCCAGACATATACAACAGAAGGAAAGAATCTATTGGTACCAATATCTACTGGGTGATACCTCACTGCCTAACGCCAATATCTCTTTAACTCTAGAATAGTTGTAGTCCCAATTATAAATAAAGCTGGCTTTGGAGTTGGAATTTAGCTCTCTCCTTCTCTAAACCCAAGCATATTAAAAATTAGGAGATTCTGTCTCATATCTGAAGAGCCAACTGGTGTGAGACAGAAGAAAACCAATAATTTAGGGACCATTGTCATCTAGACTCTGTCTTTCTATGCTTTTCCTTGCCTTTGAAGAATTCAGTCTCTATCCAGTCAGTATAAATCCAAAACTTTCCATCTTGATATTGAAAGTGTTTACATTTTCCACAGTAAAAAAAAAAAAAATAAGTCTTTTCCAATAGCAATCTCTGAAGTCTCCAGAAGGAAGATGGGGCCCCATAACAATGACTCTACCCAGTCCAGAATGATGCCATGGTATTCATAAATATTACTCAATGATCAACCTTGGACTGAAAACTCTCCAAGATAGTTCCATGATAAGATGGTCCATCATACTATACTTCTAACCAGAATCTCAGACAACCTTACCCATTACTCTGAGACTGGCTGCAGAATCTACAGTTAGTCCAACTAAGAACTATTATCTGAGCTTTCTTATAGGACCCCACAGAGATACCATTGCCCCCTAAACAGCAGGAAGCAATTCTAAGAAAACTACGCCCTTTTTCTCAAAGGTTTCATGTTTCTCAGGGTTATGGATAATGGTTATAGGGTTGGGGATGGAAGAAAATATTGGATTTGGTGTACTCCTTAAGAAAAGAAAAAGGGGAATAGATAAGTATAGGATATTAAGGTAGATTATTGCATATACTAGTAAACTAATTTAGCAAATATCAGCCTTAGATAAATTGTACTGTTATGGATTCTTGTATATTGATACAAATGTAAACTATTTCTATTTGATAATTTGTATATTGATACAAATACAGAACTATATTTACTGTAATGTACATATATTTCTACTCTTATTTGAAGTGTTTCTATATTGATACAAATGTAAAATTATATTTGTCATACTGTGTGTATGTTCTACCTCTTTTTAGGGTATTTTGTTCATTGATACATATCTAGGATTATTGTCATATTGCATATTGCACTATACATTCCTACTTCTGCTTAAGCTCTTTTGTGTATTGTCACAATTTTGAGGTCATTGTCCTTCTACTGTACATTTGCTTACAGACTGTTTACCTTGTTTATGTGAAGCCTTAGTCTTTAGGTTATTTAGGTAGATAAGACTTACTGATTTATATTCACCTATGCTTTTCATCTCTATAGTTATGTTAGTCAGGTTATCCAAATTTACAGATACATAGGTCGGATGGACAGATAATTTTCAAATACTTCATAGAACTAGAGAATATAACATTTAAATAACTTAGAATTCTGTTGATGTGAGACATGATTGCTCCTGGCAGCACCAATTTGATCCGGAGAGAATGTTGGGCTTCTAAGACATTTCCCTTTGGAAGTTTTCTTCTTCTTGGCACAAAAACTGGACAAAGAACTGCCCTCACCTTGACTGCTGACAGTACAAATGCTGTCCCTTCTGGATGAGTAGGACACAAGGAAAAGTGACTACTGAGCTCAGCTAAGACAGGGTAAGATGGTCTTTCAAAATTCCTGCTTCTGAAATGGTCTGTCAGATACTCTAGGACTAGAGCCAATTTGAATACACCAAGGATGCTGAGCAACTTTACATGACTGTCCAAGCTGCCAGTTGTCTCTATCTACTCTTGCAAGACTCCCAAAAGTTGCTTGCATCCATCTCCCATTTCTCAGGTATTATTATATTCCTTCTCATGTCTTTGATGGGATTGAAGACTAACAGTTACAGTTACAATCTTCCTGTATCCTAGCTAGAACATATTAAATATTAGATTCAAGTTCTTCAGGATAGGACACCTTTTGGAATGATCTCAGTAATGTGCCATTTACCTATGCTCCAGACTTCTCTGGATTTTAGTATGTGTCTTGTTTGATGTTGCTCTTGTTGGATG